AAAAAGAAAAATTATGGAGAAAAAAAGAATTAAATGAGGGACCAAAAAAAAATGATTGAGAAGATCAAAGATGATGAAAAATACATTATGAGAGAGACCACAGAACTTGCTGAGAGAACAACAGACATTACTGATAGATGACCAACAGACATTACTGAGAGACCAACAGACTTACTCGCTGGAACCTAACATACATTACTGAGAGAACCAACAGACATCGCTGAGAGATCCTCGAGCGGATCAGACATTAAATAAAGAGACAAAACAGGCCATTACCTACGAGCGACCAACAGACATTACTGAGAGAGACCACAGACATTACTGAGAGAGACCAACAGGACATTACTGAGAGAGACCAACAGACCATACTGGGAGAGAGACAGGACATTACTGAGAATCCAACCGACTTACTGAGATAGTACCAACGGACATTACTGAGAGAGACCAACAGACATTAACTGGAGAGAGCCAACAGACATTGCTGAGAGACCAACATACATTTACGAGAGAGACCACATACATTGCCTGATAAGGGACCAACAAACATTACTGAAGAGAACAACAGACATTGCTGAGAGAGACCAACAGGACATTACTGAGAGAGAACAACAGACATTGGTGAGAAGGACCAACAAACATGACTGAGAGAGACAAAGACATACTGAGAGAGACCAAACAGACATTCTGAGACGAGAACAACAGACATTACTGAGAGAGACCAACAGACATTACTGAGAGAGACCAACAGACATTACTGAGAGAGACCAACAGACATTACTGAGAGAGACCAACAGACATTGCTGAGAGGGATCAACAGACATTACTGAGAGAGACCAACAGACATTAATGAGAGGGACCAACAGACATTACTGAGAGAACCAACAGACATTACTGAGAGACCAACAGACATTGCTGAGAGGGACCAACAAACATTACTGAGAGAGACAACAGGACATTACTGCGAGAAGACAAACAACTATTGCTGAGAGAGAACAACAGACATTACTGAGAGAGACCAACAGACATTACTGAGAGAGACCAACAGACATTGCTGAGAGAGACCAACAGACATTGCTGAGAGAGACCAACAGACATTACTGAGAGACCAACAGACATCGCTGAGAGAGACCAACAGACATAAATGAGAGGGACCAACAGACATTACTGAGAGAACCAACAGACATTACTGAGAGACCAACAGACATTGCTGAGAGAGACCAACAGACATTACTGAGAGAGAACAACAGATATTGCTGAGAGGGACCAACAAACATTACTGAGAAAGACCAACAGACATTGCTGAGAGAGACCAACAGACATTACTGAGAGCACCAACATACATTACTGAGAGAGACCAACAGACATTACTGAGAGAGACCAACAGACATTGCTGAAAGACCAACAGACATTACTGACAGACCAACAGACATTGCTGAGAGGGACCAACAGACATTGCTGAGAGGGACCAAAGAAACTGGACTGGATTCTGGTATTGAAACAACAGCACAAGATAACAAGGAATGGTGGACTAGACTGCTAGCCCTATGTGTATAATGGCTCACTCTATTATACAGAGACAAAATGTGATATTGAGTCTAGAATCTTGCCCTGACCTCATGTCCGATGAGCTGTGTGCTGAAGCTTGTACTGAGACTGTCGGTGTCTTGTCTGGCTGTTGTGCTTCCACTAGTGCTGGTCACATTATTATCATTCATGTTTGAACTCAACCCAAACTCTGTATGTGAGAAGCAAATTTTAATTATATAGTTGCAATAGTTGACTCTAAAGAATTTTAGTTATTGACTCTACTAATTTATAGCATGTCCTTGTCCAGGCCGCTGCCTCAAGCTTTCACAACACAATCAACCAAATGTCAGTATATCGAAAACATATCAAGATATCTCATTCTACATCCTAGAATGGTCATTACTGAGGTAACCTACAACTATATTAATATACTTTTTGTTTTAAAATAATGCCGACACAAACAGTACATTAATGGACACAAACAATGCATTACTGGACACAATACATTACTGGACATAAACAGTACCTTATTGAACACAAACGGTATGTTACTGGAAACTAACAGTAAATTACTGGATACAAACAGTAAGTTACTAGACACAAACAATACATTATTAGACAAAAACAGTACAAAACTGGACACAAACAGTACATTATTGGACACACACAATACATTATTAGACAAAAACAGTACAAAACTGGACACAAACAGTACATTATTGGATACACACAACACATTACTGTACACAAACAATACATCACTGGACACAAACAATACATCACTGGACACAAACAATACTTTACTGTACACAAACAATACATCACTGGACACAAACAATACATCACTGGACACAAACAATACTTTACTGTACACAAACAATACATCACTGGACACAAACAATACATCACTGGACACAAACAATATCTTACTGTACACAAACAATACATCACTGGACACAAACAATACATCACTGGACACAAACAATACTTTACTGTACACAAACAATACATCACTGGACACAAACAATACATCACTGGACACTAACAATACATTACTGAACACTAACAATACATTACTGGACTCAAACAATACATTACTGAACACTAACAATACATCACTGGACACAAACAATACATCACTGGACACAAACAATATCTTACTGGACACAAACAATACATTACCGGACACAAACAATACATCACTGGACACAAATAATACATCACTGGACACAAACAATACATCACTGGACACAAACAATACATTACTGAACACTAACAATACATCACTGGACACAAACAATACATTACTGAACACTAACAATACATTACTGAACACTAACAATACATCACTGTACACAAACAATACATTACTGAACACTAACAATACATTACTGAACACTAACAATACATCACTGGACACAAACAATACATTACTGGACACTAACAATACATTACTGGACACAAACAATACATTACTGGACACAAACAATACATTACTGGACACAAACAATACATTACTGAACACTAACAATACATTACTGGACTCAAACAATACATTACTGAACACTAACAATACATCACTGGACACAAACAATACATCACTGGACACAAACAATATCTTACTGGACACAAACAATACATTACCGGACACAAACAATACATTACTGGACTCAAACAACACATTACTGAACACTAACAATACATTATTGGATACAAACAACACATTACTGAACACTAACAATACATCACTGGACACAAACAATACATCACTGGACACAAACAATACATCACTGGACACAAACATAGTCCTTAAAATGGGTTGGCACACTGTGTTGGGATTCACAGCTAGGCTGCGATATATGTATCTTTTGGCCCAGCACAATCAATTTCAGCAACCACCTTTTATGACATGCTTAGTTTGAGTGGGAGAGGGTTATTGTTCCCTATACCAACCCTTCCCCCCCCCCCCCCCCCCCAACCATTTTTTCAATGGGGTTCCAGAACCCACACCTAGAATATTTCTGTCTCAAGGGGAAGTTAACAGTGACTGCCGTCATCACTGCCATCTATGAAAATGTCTGAAGTTAACAGTGACTGCCGTCATCACTGCCATCTATGAAAATGTCTGACATATTGAACGTAGAGGAATGTTCACCTGTCAGCCAAAGGAAGGTAACTCTATTATTTTACTTGCATATGACCGGCAGCAGTGTTAGCTCCCTTAGTAATGAACTGTTCTAAAGCTGCTGTGCTATAAGAAGTTCGACCATGGCACTTGCAATGCTGTTCCAATGGTCGAGTTAAAACTATAGTTGTTTGATGAAGATTCCAGGATGCCTTTGCACTATTTGATCATTAATGAGTCAGCTAGCTTGACTTAGTCATGCTGATCTTAATATAATTTCTTTGGAAGCCACTTATTTGATTTGTGGAAAGCATATTCTCAGGTTTTTATAGTCAAGAGTGAAAACCTAACTATGTTAGAGCATACGAGAACTTCTAAATTTCTGATTTTGTCTTGCTATTTTATGCTGAGTAAAAACTCCAGCTGGCCCAAAAGGAGGTGTTAGAATAGCTTCAAAAGTTGACTGTACACTATCTCATAAAATATGTTTAGTTCTCCTCCCCCCCCCCCCCCCCCCCCCTCCCAATTCCTTACCCGGAAACTTTCATTTACTTGCAAATACTTGATTACTCCATAGTGTTAAGGTCACTAAAATATGCTGTTGATTAGTTTTGCATCTGCTGATTATATCATTGATACATACATTATTACAGCAATGCGTACCTGCTGTGAATTTAAACAAAGAAGACACAAACAAAAGATTGCACATTTTATTGCCTGTCATATTTCGCTGTACCTCATCGGGGGCAACACAGAAACAATTGATTAAAATGAAGCAGATCGATCAATTCCTCCAACTAAAAAACAAAATCAACTACATTTACAAGTAATTGTCTGGTTTACCAAAGTAAATGTAAGGTGACCACCATGTCATTTTGTCTGGATAATTCTGGACTGAACCAGTTTTTAGCTGCTGCTTCCATGAATTGCAATAGTCTCATTAGCAACATTTGTGGTTTTCCTTCACAACTTTACATTCACTAATTTGTCACTGCTTGCTCAACAGTTAACTCTAATGATTTGTTAAAATCATGTAGCTGTCAAAGCGTCTGCAGCTAAATCAAAACTGGCATGTCAGCTTTTTGAAATTTAATTGATAGCCCGTAAGCCAGGACTATTGGACTAAGTTTGCTCTGGTCACAAAATTTGTAAAATTGGGGTTGTAAGGGCCAGTGACCCGACCCCCAACATAGAAAGATCATTAACACAGACAACTGGATCACAGGCCACTTGTTAGACCTCCAAGCTGGCCTGCGGGCTGCCAATTGAATTGCCCTGCCCTAAGTTGAAAGCGAATGAGTAATGATACTATCAAATAGACTATATGAACAACCCCTTGTGCAAGATAAATTGAGAAGCAGCCGATCAGGTGGTTTGACCATTTTGTTAGAACATAGCATTATCAGATGCCAGCACAGGCCCCACATCTCAGAAGATAGGCTAAACGAGCAAGAGGATTGCACAGAAAATATGGATTGACAACACTGAAGACACTTGATGCCTCTTAGGCAAACAGTAACCATTGCTAGCCAGCCTGCACTGGATTCCTTCCCCCAATGCTTAACGGCAGAAGTGATTTATTCTAATTATAATGATTCTACAGACATGCATATTTGAGTACGAAACAAAATAAGTAGAAGAGTAAAACACAATTCATACAGTTGGGAACTAGCAGCTACATTTTTTTTTACACCATCATATCTTTACCTTGGCTTGTGAAAGATGTGTTGCTAAGAACATTGAGATTGTCATCTCTGGGAGAAGTTGCTGTCAGGCCCAAAGTAGACTGGCTGGTCGAAGCATTTATGTTCTGGTTGACGTCTGCTGGGGATGATGGTAGGGAAATGACAGGCGGGGATGTCGAGGAAGAAGGACCAGTGAAGCCCTGTTCTCCTGTGGTCTGTTGTATTTGCTGTAGAAGATCCTGGAGAGAAGCATTAGACAGTTTGGATTTTAGTTAGAGCCGAAGAAACATAATGTAGCAACGGCCAGATAAAAAGAGAGATGAAGATGTCTTGAAATGAGCTTACAAAGATAATTGATTACCAACATTACAAAGAAACTTCTTCTTCTTCTTCTTCTTCTTTTTCTTCATCTTCTTTGTATTCAGTTTTGAGTGTTAGATCAGACTGTCATGTAGGCTGATCTATGAACTCGCATGTCATTTGCAGGTCCTTCATGGCTCTGCACACTTTGCTCTTGAAGCCAGTTTTTTTTTTTTAAATAGTTGTAGGTAGAGCTATCCAAATTGTGGTCTGTGAGCCACATCTGGCCTGCCAAGACCTATCTAGTGCCTGCCAAGGCCTATCTAGTGCCTGCCAAGGCCTATCTAGTGCCTGCCAAGACCTATCTAGTGCCTGCCAAGACCTATCTAGTGCCTGCCAAGACCTATCTAGTGCCTGTCAAGACCTATCTAGTGCCTGCCAAGACCTATCTAGTGCCTGCCAAGACCTATCTAGTGCCTGTCAAGACCTATTTAGTGCCTGCCAAGGTCTATCTAGTGCCTGCCAAGGCCTATCTAGTGCCTGCCAAGACCTATCTAGTGGCCTATGGATCAATGCCAGTTGTAGTATTTTAATGAACTTTCTATGCTGGGTGCTCAGGCCCCTGGGCCGTGGCGATCCCCTATCCCAAAATGTTGGCTCCTTAGTTAAAAAGCCCTGTTCTACGACAGATTCAATTTGAAGTCTTTTTGTTCCTCAGCAACTGACCTAAAACATTTCATCTCTGTATTGATCTTTCGCTCACTGATTGTAAAAATGGTACTTCTTTGCTCTGGTAGCATAAAACTGGCACTATACAAGTGTTTACTTTATGAGCCTTTAGACTCTCTTTGATCAAATGGACAGAAGAAGACTGCATTAGATAATTTTAAATATTAAAGATGATAGTGGTGGTGTGATGATGATGCAGACGATGATGATGATAATAGTGGTGAATGATGATAACAATGACAGTGATGACAATGATGATAATTATATTGGTGATGTTGATTGTTTTATATTAACAATTATGGTGGTGGCAGAAGTTATAATGATAATGATGTGGATGATGATGATGATGGCCTTGATGGTGCTGATGGC